ATTTGATTGAATTAACTATCATTATAAACAATACGCCATGCATTTAGAAAGCTCTTTGATATAGAACAGCATGCATTAAGTAAAAAATTGTTCCAAGGCGTTTTCAACTATCAAATTTGTTTCCATAACTACTCGAAATTTTAGCAAATCTGAAGCATAAGAGGAATTAGCTCAAGATAAGTATCAATGTGAATTAAAAAAATTGAAACATGAAGGCTGCAGTAAGCTTTAAGTGGGTTAACAGATTAAATCCAAGCTTATCTAAAACTTTTTGTCGTGTTATAGGTCAGGATGTAAGAACGAAAAATGTAAAAATTAAATATGAGAAACAAGATGAAAATCTAAATTTTGGAATCTGCAGCTTTTTAAATTAATTCTGACGATTCATACCGAACAATCTGTTGCTTATTATTTGACATATAAGTCAGTTCAACGAATAAATAGATCAAGAACCGAGAGTGGCTCAGTAAGAAGAATGCCACATTTTATCTACAATTAATAACGTTATCATTTTGTACACAAAATTTCATGAATTCGTATAAAAACTTTATTATGACAAAAAAATAAAAGCAAAACTTGCACCTCTTTTGATGAATTAAATATTTCTATTGCGAGACAAAAGAAAATTTTTCAAGCTGTTACAAACTAAATTTACAGTAGTATTTTAATATAATGTTACCATGAATTAAATGATTCATTTATTGTTTCAGGACAACATTCCTACTACAATTTTCCACATTCCCTCAAATACTTGAAAACTAATCGCAGATCAAGTTTTCAGAAATATCAAACTCATTACGTAAACTGAGTCAAACAATCTCATTATTTCAATTTCAGAACAAAAAATATGCTTGAAATTAACCATACATTTTCAGCAAATTACAAGTTAATAAACAGATGCTCTGCTCAGCACACGCTAAAAACAATTAAAGATCAGAAAAATAAAAATTATAATATATAATATGCCTTTAATTGTATCATTCTAGTTATCAGCATGTCATTTATTAACGAAATATGAATGAAGCATAAAATATTCTTGCTAAGGATAAGCACCAAATTTATACTTATTACAGCCGTAGAAACTGGATTCTTAACTTAATTCACATGACATCAATAATAGTTATCTATACTCAATAACATTGAAAAAAAGTTTATAAGTTTTGATCATCATTCAGTCATAACATACCTTGATGAATCGATGCTAAAGTGCTTTGCAATACGAAAACAAAAAAAAAAACATTGCATCAAATTTAAAGTGATTCTGGTGACATTTGAACGCAAAAGCTGAGAAAGGAATGAAATAAAAAATTTGCGAGTAACTATTCATCATCATTTTTTTTCGCTTTTAAAGCTTATCTCCGCAGTTTCTATCACATTCAGCAGTGTAAAATCCAGTCTGATCTAAACTCCACAACTTTTCGCTTGCTAAAAACTTAGTCATTTCAAGAGTTGAATGATTATGTCTCACTTGATAAGTCTTATATTTCTTGATTGCAAAATTATATAACTGAGATCTTATTAAACATTTGATGAAATAATTTTTGGAGAATTTAATACTGAGAATGCAACACACAATTTCTATAATATCGAACTTTAACGCTTCACTGCCTTCTCCTCCTATCATTGCTATTGTTACTTCAGAAAAACGTGGTAATGACCGTGAGAGTGACGCCATCCTTCAACAAATGCGAGGAAATTCATTTGTTCATCGGTTGAAATAATGCGTGCATTTCGATTTACGTTACAAAAATTTGTTTATAGTTTCATAAACTGAGAAATAATCATGAAATGAAAAACTAGCTAAAGATACAGAATTCCTCATAGCAAAAATCACTAAAAAGGGAATTATTCGATCCATTTAAAGTATTAATTATGCTACAATTTACTAATGCTTCGCCTCATTGCTTTTTACTAAACATTTTTGCATGTATCCCATATGATGGATGCTTCCTCTCTCTATTGCTACTCTACTAAATTAAATAGGTGGGATATTTCTTTTGCAGTGCGCGACAATAACAGGATTTAATTAGATACTGGGTGAATGACAATGAATGTTTTCAAGTGGATATGAATGAGCAAAAGAAAGGTGGGGTGGGATAGTAGAGTGACCTTTGATTGCTCAAATATTGGGGAATGATGGGTTTTAGGGTGTGTATGTTGTTAGGAAGTTGTTAGTTTCAAGTACGAAGGATTTATTGAAAGTATGAATAAATTGGTAGAGTGTGCGATAGTTGGTGGTATAATCGTACATGTTCTATTACTGCATTATCATTGATAGACAGCAAACTATTGCGCAGTTGAACAGGAGTGTACTGTTTCCAGAATGTTGGACATTATTAGTTTTTAGCATGACTGAGGATATTCAAGATGTTCTTATAGCTCTTTACGGTTGTACTTGAAATTTTCTGAAACCCACGTTTCTTTGAAATTTGAGTAAGTATATCATGTCCATTTACTAAACTAGTTTTATTAGCATAGAGAAATCACTAGCAATTTGTTTGGTCACTCTTCAATATTTATTTCTGGGAAACTATGTATTAAGTGACAATACACCTAAAATTTTACTTTGGCGACCAACAAATATATACGAATATTGATTAATTGACTGATTCTTTTCAACAGCCACGATATCATTAACGATTATTCAGCAATATTTAATGGCTATAGCAATCTTATGTGTTTAAAGTGGCTCTCTCTTGATAATAATGTTTTGAGCACTGTGCGGCAGACTGCTTGTTCTGTACGATTTGTATATTCAGTGATAGCATTGATATAGTTTTGACTTTGACGGGCAAAGTTATTGCTCTTCCCTGTAGACTTAAATATATAAAGTAGAGACTTCTGGTTACTTTTCTTCTCATTTTTCATTTCAGTTGTATTATGGTTCTCTTTGTTCATAATTATTTAAATAATAAGAAGTAACAGAAAGTTCTGGAACGTATCGTGGATTTCAACATTTGCAAACTTCTTTTTCCAAACAATGGAGGAAATTGTTAAATACTGATATTCTAAGGATGTTCAATTTATAAGAATTATTGTGTGTGAAAATCACTGGCGTTAAGATATTTTAATATAGAACTGGCTTCTATTCATTATACTTCATAAAATTTTCCTTTATTTTTCGGCTATATTTGGTACCTTAAAGATGTCACAGTACATTGTAGATGGTATGGACATTCAGAAGTGAGCTGAGGTAGACTGAAGGCAATATACCAAATCCAAGGGTCATAGTAGTAGGTTTGTATTAGTGGTTATGGTGAAACGCTTGAAAAAATTTCAATGATACTGGAAATTATTAGAGAAAATAGATCAGAATGTGAGGGAGGCGTCCTTCACAATGATAAGCAATGATTTTTATTATGCGTTTATTGTTATTACATACCATGCATTAAAGAAGTGCGTTAACAGTGTGATGCAGAACTTGCATTCTTATTGGACGTAAGATGTGAGAGAAAAGCAACCGTTTCCGATTTAATGAAATAGGGTTGCTGTATATGTTGATTGTTCACAGCGTAATGCTGAAGTAACTGTGGTTGCAATGACGTAGCATAGCAGACATAGCCAGAAAGAAGAATATCATCGTGTTTTATGACTTGAATAGGAAACAAGATGAAGGTGAAATGTGGTATAGAATTGCCAGCCTTCGCATACTGTACTTGTTCGTAATATCAACAGCTTGTCTGTTTGCAAGTAACAAAGATCAAATAAATGAAAAAGCAAATGCAAACAGACAACTGAGAAGCGAAATATAAATCAATCGTTTTTCTGGAATGCTTTGAAGATGAAAGTTTTCAATTGGCAGGTAGATGGATCGATTGATAGAGAGGATCATTCATGCATCTATCATGTCTCTCCTCTTTACATTTTCAAATAAATTGTAGTTGAAAAGATAGGATGGAGAAGAATGTATGTTTACGAGCGTGGTGATCTCATCCAATATTATTGTAGTACAAAGGGAAAAGCTGAGTAAAGTTTAAAAACTCTAGTACAGTGTTCTCCCTATAGCTTTTGTGCTAGTGATGAGAATCAATAGCGCAGAAAATCAAGTCTGAAAGTATGCTCATTCACATGTTCCATGATCACGACACATGAGGGTGTGGTGTGATCATCGTCAGTAGTGTTTAAAAAAACGTGCAAGTTGCTGCAGCTCTGTGGCAGGTAGGAAGGAGTTGAGTGTTTGGAAAATAAACGTTGAAACGAAGGAATTGAAAGGAAACACTAGAGTGAGAGCGACGACTAGATGGTGATAGGGGTAGAATCAGATCTAGAAGCTGAAAGCAATCGATATGACAATGTAATGTGCTGCAAACGGAAAGGGAGCTTACAGGAAGGGTACTGCTGATGAGCTCTTGATGGAACTGCGTTAAAAGAAGTGTGATGAAGTGCTGTGGAGATAGTAGCGCTGCATTTTATTAAAATGCTGACGCGTCGAGTGCTGTCGTTTACTTTACACTTTACATGAAATTGATGTAAAATGGGTGAAAACGTATTGCAGATTGTTATCAGAAGTGAAGGTTGAGCTGCAGACAATTATTAGTGTTCAAATCGCACGTAAACATATCACGTAAACAATTAGCAGTTCTTGGCACCAATCAGTATTATTCAGTTTTCGGCTACACAAGTTTTACTTTGGTAAGCATTTAACGTGACATGACATATTATTGGTTTGGAATAATTTACTTTTTGAAGTGTGCAATTTTTGCAAAGTTAAAAGTGACGTAAGACACGAGTCAGGTCTGGCCTTGGAATAATACTGCAGAGCATACCTGGAAGGTAGGCGCAGTCAGCGTTGAGCAGAGAGCGAAGAGGAGTTGTAGATGCGGTTGTCATAATTAGTTTGCAGACGGCCACTTTCAAGAATGAATGGATTGGTAACGGCAGCAACTTGTGTTAGTGTTATAATAAGTGAGGATTGGCACGGAAGAAGTAGAGAAGGGAGCGGAAGGAGGGCGTGACTAGTGGTGGATACTGGCCTGGAAGGAGAGTGCTGGAGAAGTTAGATGAGTCGCGTGCAGTCGTCTTCTCACGCAGTTTCTTCTGATGCTGTTGCTGGGGCTGCTACTACTACTACTACTACTACTGATACTGATCGTTGCTTAGTTAGTGGCAGTTGGGTTGTTGGGGGGTGAATAGTGGCGTACAGAAGTGCTGACAGGTGAGTTGTATGTGGGCTGCACTGCTGCGCTCCGCTTGTCTCCCTTCTGGCAAAGGCAGCGCACACTCTGCTCGGCCTGCAGACATCAAATAAGAAATTAGCACCGTGTGCTGCTACAGCCCACAGTAATGCGCATTGCACATTGTGCGGCATGGTTGGTTAGGCGATCGGTTGGTTGGTCGGTCGATTGCGCGCTTACATGCTGCTTACCGTGCTTATTCTGTGATTTCCTCCATTCTTCTTCCTTCCATTGCTGGATCGGTGAATTCCTGGAACTATTGTTCAATAACAGTCTATGCCTTACAGAAGTCACTTCTGGTGTCCGGTGTACTGTTACTGAGTTCTGGCCAGATATTGTTTTGTAGTCATAGTTCGCTTCTTATCACTATTAGCATTTAAATTCACAAGAGTGAATTAACTTGGTCTTAAGCATAATATGGCCATATTTTTCTTGAACCTCACTGAACATTTTCACGGTTCTGCCTTGAAACTTGACATGCAGAGACTAGTCATATTGTGGTTCATTCGTACTTTTAAATTCAAAGTGTTACAAAATATAGCATTGTTCTTTGATTTCTTTGTTTACAGTATTGAACTTTCACACGACTGAGCTTCACCTACCATCAGCTCGTCTTAGTGACATATTACGTTCTTTTTTCATTGTTAACTATGTATCGAGGTGATTATGGAGTATTTGTGGTATTTTTCTTGTTGCTGAACTAAGAAGCAACTCAGCTGCGTGGGGAAAACGGGAAAAAAGTGAGATGCAAAAAAGGTGTTAGGGGAAGAGCAAAAAATACTGGTAAAGGCAGTAGGCCTTCACCGTGATCTGCAGAATGCTGATATATTGAATCTGAGATCATGGTGAAAGCTATTTGCCTTGCACCATTTCCGGAACAGATAAGTGTTCTGCATATTTCCATATGCGAACCGTCATCATTTGTTTCATTTTTGCAGAGTAATGTGTCATATAACTTTTATTGTCGTTAATAAGATTAATTTTCAAGAAATTGAACTTTGGTATCTGTGGTAATTTAGGTGTAGTTATCAGTGTTCTTTAGATATTTGAAAGGTAGAGATAAGAATGGTTGATCTGGTCATCAATCGTGTTAATCGTGTTGCAAATACTTTGGAATCAATCAAGAATCACTGGATACCAATTATTGTGCGACAGATAGAACAATTGCGTCATATGTATGATGAATTATTGGTTGATGATGATCCAGAAGCTGAACTCTCTGTTACAGCTCAAGTACTGCTTGAACAGGGTGTGGACAAACTTTGTCATTCATTAAGTGAGGTAATTTCCGTGGAGGTAGATCCACTTTTCATTGTTTTACTTAATAGGTGTATTTTAAATGGAATTATTATTAAAATTCGAACTTGTCTATAATGTATTTAATACTTTTTAAAATAGACATTTTCTTCCGACTGAATTTGTTTGAGATGGCGCGTCAGCATCGGTCTACTCATCAAATGCTGTCAAAGATTGGTAGAACTATCGATAAAAATTTTGTCGCCGATCTTAGCTCAGTTATGAAGATCGATAAAAATATTGAAACAGACCCCAGATTGCACAGTCGGGTGAATGCGCTAATCATTAACCATTTAACCAGCTGTGGGAAGTTCGAGGTTGCAGATATTTTAGCAAGAGTAATCGTTACATTAATTTTCCAGTACACAGCAGCTCTAATATTTAGGACATATCTCTTACTACGGTATTTATAGGAGGCTCAGTTGCCACCATCAGATGGTTTAGAATGTAACGTAGATGAAGTTCGACATCTGATGGATTCATTCCATAATAAAGATATGTTGCCTGCTATCGAATGGCTGAAGCAGAATGCTTGTCGAGAAGAGGACTTGATCTATGAGCTTCAGAAACAGCACTTCGTAAAGCTTTTAGAAGATGGTACGGCTAGTGTTATCAGGAAGTTGAAGTGATGTCTATAGTTAATGGAACTCTACATTATAGGTAAGACTATGGAAGCTCTGGAATACAGTCGGCAACTTACCAAGCACCCAGATGAGTTGAGGCAGTTGTTGTGGTTAATAGTTGCCAGGGATCGTAAGGAGCGTTGTCCGGATCTATTCGACCCCATTCTTCTGGAACAGATTGAAGTGCGTCTTGCTCGTGTTATGTCAAAATCAGAGAACTACCTCAGTCAAATGTACGGCAAAATATCTTGATTTATATAGATTATTAAGAAGAGACGAAATATTAGTGCGTATTGTTTGTATCCACGGGAAACATAGCTTTATTCTGCAAGCCTTAATAATTCTGTAACTCCATGGATTGATGTTATCACGAGTGCTTTTGTTTTTTATTTATTGCACAAAATATTTGGTGCATTAATTGGATTGAACTCTCACTAGAACGATTTTGAATTTCTCTCATTCACATGACGACGTAGTATAAGTAAAAAAGCCGGTCTTCTTGGGAATGAAGCTGTAATGTTTTTGTCTAAAATATGATCCTTTATATCGAGTAATATTTTGTTTTTCAGTTTGGAACTTGGTATTAAATTGATACCATCGCTTATCAGCCTTCGTCATTTAATGGCAAATCGTTCTCTGGAGTCAATTTTCCAAGGTGATGAGCTACCGGTTGAAGTTGGTATGCCTAATCCTGCTCATTCTGTGTTCACTTGTCCAATTCTAAAGGTTAGTTTGCTTTTTTCTCAATATAGCTGCACCATTAATGATAAGCATTGATATTTTCTTAAAAGTTGACCTAAAATATAGCATTGAGATTTTCATTTTTAGTTACAATGTACGGATCAAAACCCTCCAATGCGATTAAGTTGTGGTCATGTAATTTCTCGCGAAGCTCTTCATAAATTGGCTCAAACTGGGCGCTTCGTTCCACCTGCCAATCTTGCTCCATCTAACACATTCAGCCATATTCGTTTAAAGTGCCCTTATTGTCCCGTGGAATCATTGGTAACGGAAGCAAAAAGAGTGTACTTTTGATATAAACTTCTCCCTCTTCCCGATGAACTACTCTTTTCGTGCATGACTGATCATTTACAGTAGACAATGCGTTTGATCTGCAATATTCGGTGGTAAAACTAGTACCATTAGTGGGAAGTGATCACTTCCACTTTGGCACTTTTACCTTTGAAATGAATATGTTTATCGCTTTCTAAGCAGTGAAATCAAAATTCTGGACACCACCCTTGTGATGCCGTCCTGTATATATTGCTCTTTATCACTATCATTCTTTGTATGTTCTTGATTTTCGTCACCACTCCTTAGAATTTTTTGTTCTGGTTTTATCTTCCTGGTATTCACTTTCCATTGGGCTTCGTGCTCCTTTTGACTTGAATACATCGTTTACCCATGATGCATTAAAGTAGCTGAGATCAATAAAAACTTCTTGCTATCGCGTTGAGCACTCGTATCTTCCTTCGTCACTTAATCATTCAATGTGACACAGCATATCCATGCAGTCAAGCTGCTGCTAATCATATATATATATATATGCCATATCTAACTTAAACAATGCCTGTGCTTAATACGGCTGCACTCAAGAGAGATACCAAGATTCGTAATTTATATCTTTATACATGTCGTGCGAAAAAACTATGGCTATAGCTCAATATTCTCTAACCGTGCAAGATAAAGCTTGATATTAATGCGGGCCTTTAACAGTATGACTACCAACTGATTGTAAAGCACTAATAAAACATGAAACCAGCAGTGTGCACAGAAAAATGTTCGAGTTCAGCATACAGCAGAAGAGCATCATTCTATTGAGACACTTAAAAGCAGAGGAAATGTAATCCAACTGAAGTAACGTCACTGCTGGTAAATTCTGGGCTTTCCACGGCTATGAATGTGGTTCTTCCCACACAATATGAGAGGTTCCGATATGATGTAAAAACAAATATGAATTTATTAGGAACAAAATGGATAAACCAGTATAAATTCAATAAAAAAAGTCGGAACGTAAGAAGGTATTAAAGCATCAACATATCAAATCCAGAAATTATGCAAAATGTCAGGGAGAACTAAAATATAAAGAAACACAAAGGTTGAGTGTGAGACGATATATTTTGGAATATAGATCATATCAATAAGACCAAGATTCAGAAAGGAAATAGAAGAGAAAACCGTATGCAGAAAGAGAGATACTAATAAACATGAAAGTACTATTTGTTGACCTTTGAACGTGTATTTGTTTGGTAGCTAAAGCTTTTGGTTGTAATCAATAATAATGATTAAGAGTAACCATGAACAACTAGAACTCCGTCTTAAATGAGAAACATTCTGGCTAAGGAAAGCATGAAGACTCAAGGAACACATGCTAGGTAGAACTAAGTAGAACGCGAACATCAAGTCATGCGCTCCTATTTGAACAACATGCCACCTTCATATCTCATAGGTTCTCTAATGGACACATAACCAATGTCGCACAAACATAAATATATCCAGACGATTGCACAGATGAAAACAAAAAATGATATCATAAGGTCCATTTCATAACAGAAACGACGATACAAGCTCGCATTCACTAAAACAAAAGTTTTGAAATTTTTAAAGCAAGCGTAATAACTTTAAAGATGATGAACAACAATAACAGTTTTTATTATTTCGCCATGTCCAGTGAATAATTCCCTGAATAAAAACTTGACTGACTTTCCATGTCTCAAAAATAAGTAAATCCAGAATTCGAATAACAATTTGCACCCACTTCGTGAATATTCGGCAACTTCCTCCACCACTGAATTCTTATTAAATGACTAAGCTTTCCATGCCTCTGCCTCGAAAACTGTTTCAATACAACCAGAATTAAACTGAACAATGACAGTTAAAATGATTCAGAGCGAGTGCCACGAAACAAATATGTTTCTCGCTTTGACTTTAAACTTTAAGCATAGGGAAAAATAATAATTGAAAATGAGAAGACAAAACTAAAGATGGAGTAGAACCAAGTAGAAAATGTTAAAAACAAGTTACAAACTTCAAACTATTAGAAATTTCAATAGAATTTAAAGTCTCAATAGGGCGCAAAACGGTTTAGGGTACGATATGTAGCTGCTGCGACTGTTGGATACCCAGGTAATGCTGCTGTTAGTGCTTGACCGAGATACTGCTCACCAATAGAAGTAGCACCAGCTGTGCTTGCTACTGCATTACGTGCTGCTGCTGCCATCAAAGCTGGATTAGCTGTAGCAAAGAAGTATTTTAATAAAAACTGTCATTCTGAAGTTAGTTATTGATTTGAAAAAATTGAAAAAGCTACTGATCTAAAAAAATCGGAACTTCACACTATGGTTTCATTTTCTTACTCAGTATGATGCTGGACATACCCTGTGCAGCTACAATTTGCAAGCGAGCTTGCTCATTTAGAAACAATGATGGATCATAAGTTTGCTGAATTGGTTGAGTGGCAGCCTGCGGTAACTGTGGATGGCCAAGCAAAAGACCCTGATTTTGCATTTGCGAAGCAAGCGCTGGTGCAAGAAAGTTCAGAGGCTGTGGCTGACCAAAAGGAGAGAAATGACTCTGTAAGTTGAGATTCTGAAAATTTCGTACTGCTAATGCTTGCGCCAAAGGATTTCGGAAATACAGAGCACGATTTGCAGCAGCTGCCTGTTGCAGTGCAGCACCCTGCAATGCAGCAACTGCCAGACTAGCATCTACCATTCCTGGAAATATTCACTAATTTAAATTAATTTAATACAACACACTCCTTTACGCAATACAGTTTTAAATGTAACAATTTCATCATATAATTATAATTGATCATAAATTATAGTTTGAAGTAGCAAACGACAAACGCCAAGATCTTATTTTTGCACGAGCCTAAATTTCCTTATTATTTATGCTTACTACTCTGGCCTCCCTTTTTTATGCTTTCTTCTGCAACTTGCAGTCGCTGTTAAGAAATTTCATCAAATAGATCCCTCTCCTCATCACTAGATAGAATTTTCATTAAATTTGATTTTTTTGAGTGCAAAAGTAAATATACGAAAATAAGGAGAACATTTTACGAACTATTCATGCATAGTAAAATGTGAGAGCATGAGGCCAAAAACTTTCAGCGTAACTTGACAAAACATGCGCAGAGGCCATGAGTGCAGCGCGTGAAAAATGAGCATCGTAAACTAGAAAAACTACAAAACGCCTTTTAATCCCACAATCGGTTATAAAATTATTAATGATTCGTGAGTAATCTTAAAACTATGCGCTATTTAAGTAGTCTGTTTTCATATGACAGGATGATAAATTTAATATTAATAATTATAATTAATCAATACCACTTTACTATAAAAACAATTACTGCAAAAAGAAACATACCTATCACAGACAGTTCACTTTAAAGAGACCTATACAATTTTTGAACAAGATTATTCGAAGCAACAACGCGTAAAATCTCAACTGCATGCAATAAAAAGCACGGAGCCAGATGACTGTCACAAAATCTGCACTTTCCTATTATTTAGTAGAAAGTTTCTCGAATTTGTGCAACCAATCATTAACATGCAAACTAATTTGCATAATTTTAGCAAATTTCACTCGCATAACAAATCAATTATGCACGTGAAATTGGTTATGCACACGAAACTTCCTAGTTATGCTGTTTAATCTCACTTTAATGGAAAAGTGCAGATGATGCACAAATTCTTCCGGAAAGGACAATTAAAGAAACAAAGTATTTAAAAATAACTGAAAATGGTCAATTGGTATGACCATTGTCTTTCTTGTATTCTATTGAAAATAAAATAAATATTTCGGCTCACCGGGTGCGACTTTCGGCTTCTTGGTGTGTATGCGAGCAGTGGCGCAATTCACCTCAAAAAAGGCGACTATTAGGCAGTCGTCCGAAACAACTTCCACAGTCTCAATCATTCATTTTTTGTTTGTTTTTGACTGTGAGAAACATGCTAGCGAAACGTACAAAAAAAAATAAGCACCGCAAAGTTTGCCATTAATATAAATTCTAGGATAAAACCATCTACAATCCCCCAAAACTTTGAAACTTTCAGGAAAGATAAAAACCAACATGTACGTGTTGCTAAGCAATATTAAACATACACCTTTTTTTTCCCGAAAGCCATAGAAGAAAAATGTACTTAATGGGCCATCTCGAAAGTACCGACAAATTCAAATGAATGCAATAACTAATATTCAGCTAGCCTCTGATGAAATGTGATGAAACTATACATCAATGTTGAAATATATAAGCATTTAATTTTCCAAACTTCGTGGGCAACCATGCAAAAGGTCAGGAAAGTTTGAATATGATCAAAAATGATCCAAATGTGCTAGGATTAGTAACAGCTCGTTTAGAAATGCCAAATTAAATAAAGAAATGCAGCTGGATGCAAATCCTCTATATCAAGCAAACACAGTTAGATATCCCAAGAAACTAATTCTGCCTTCTACCCTAAAGGATACAAATATCGTTCCCATTTTAAAATAAAACTACAAAGTACGCTCACTACCGCAGCTGCTCTCTATTATCGAATTAAGGGACGGATGAGTTTTTGGTATCCCTGTTAGTAATGTTAGCTGACCTAATTTAAAACTTATTTCGGAAGAATGATATCAAATAAACTATATTAACGCCACCTTCCAAGACTTGAATAAAACCCCGAAATCAAATTTATTTTTTAAAAACTATTCCAGCTTCTAAGAGAAATGCCGCTTCAGAAATTGTCGACAAACTTTCGATTTTTAAATATGAAGACTTCAAATTCCTTCTACGTAAGTACAGTAAAGATGAAATTGACTAAGAAAATACCCCAAAAAAATTACTCTAAATTTTCATAAATTGCATTTAAAAAATATGGAAGGAACAAAGTAATAAATTCTAAACATATCAGACCACAAATTGGAAGGGACGTTTGAAGTACAAGTTAAGTTCATGCTAATGTACAAGAACATATCCCAAAAGCTCGAACTACGTAACAGGCATGTGTTGCAGGATACATGAGGGAAATATATGAGCAACAGCGTCATACCCCGCAAACTTCACGTTTTGTGACAACCATGACAGAGAGCAGCCATAAGCCAGTTTTTAGAATATAGTTTGGTATGGTGCATGACAACAAGCAAACCTCAATTTTCCGACCCTCAACTGTAGAAGCATGCAATTCCTGTCTCGCTTTCTCTGCATCTCCCGACTTTTCCATAGTCACAAAACCAAATCCCTACAAGTTGTACAACCAAAAGAATATGATCACTTTATAATAATCTCCTTCTACTGATTTTATTGTTAAACAAACATGCGAAAAGATTGCTATATTCTAAAAATGTACCTTGCTACCACGTTCATTGAATATTATTTCCACATCAGTTACAGGTCCATACTTCTCAAACATTGCTCTTAAATCTGGATCACGAAATCGGAACGGTATATTCGATACATGTAATCGTTTCGGCGCACTGTCTATAGAGTTTGATGACGTAGATGGATCTGGCGTCGTTAAAGTATTTGATGCAGTTGATTGCTGTTGGACCTGCGACTGAAACAATTTGATATATATTTTATCAGTGGAATATTCCCTTTTATTACATTAAATAAACGAATAACCTCTCAATGAAAAAAAAACCCACTGTAGATGTAGGTGGAGGCATCTGTGGGCGAATACTTGCGACCGCAGCCATCTGAATTTGCACTTGAAGATCATACTGTTCTCGAGCTAATTTTTCATCTTGCTTCTCACCTTCAGTATTTGTAGCAACTGGACCGACTACAGGTGTTGTAAGCAATCCACCAGGTTGATGCATTACAGCCGCTGAAAACTATGACCTTCAAACTACAAAGTAAAAGGAAAGTAGGGTTTTTGACAATACATGGTAAAGAAAATCCAAATCTAGAGTTAAAAAATTCGCTTATTCTAACAAACATCTCCAAGCAAAATTAAGAAACAAAGCTGGTGCAAATTTGTGTACTTAGAATGTACACTCGACACTACTAGAAAAACTAATTACTCACTACATTAAACATTAATTGAATGAATCAAATAATGTGATTTATTTAGTCACACGCTGAATAAACCG